CGTTGCGATCGGTCAGTGTTGTGAAGGTTAGGTGTAGCATTGTTTTTGAGTGTATCATCTGGCTTGTGTTTTTCAGGCTAATTTTATGATTTGTGTACGCCAGATGTTTTATAATTTGTCGTCGATAGATGCTTTGTGGCGAGGCCGTGTCAAATGTCTCGTAGCATTAGTTTTATGACTTGTTTTGCTGGACACTTGGAGCCTTGTTCTCGCCAGATGTGTTTATAAAGTTTATTTTCATAAGATATTCGAAGTTTTGCTGAATTGTTTAGATTTAGTTAATCCAAGGCGCGTTTTTGAATGTTATTACTCGCGTAGCCGAGAGTTGCCTTTTTCGGAACTCTTATCTCGATTTTTCCAGATGTTTAATGAGCTGGGAGTTTTCTTACATTCTTGAAAACCAATAATATATTAATAGTACATCAGGTAATGTAAGAATAAATAATATTATTAATTATGTCATATTAGGTGTTATTTATTTAATGTAAATTATTTTTCGAATTTAAGGTATGGTATAAATAATTTTATTCAATTTTCATATCTTATTTTCTTTAAATCTATTTATATATATATATATATATATGTAACATATATACATTTATAACATCTATACACATATAAATTTCATATTTTTAAATATTTGTGTTTCTATTGTTAGAAATAAATTGATAATAATAATTTATTTAATAATGATTGTATAATGTATATAATGTATATATTGTAATGAATATATTATTTATGTATATAAAATTTAATTAATGAATTCATAAATGTTTTAGATACAATTACTTTAAATATTATAATCTTCATATTTTATATATTCGTAATAAAATTCACGTAGCATATATAAACCCTTTAACATAGTCATGCTTATTTTCTAGGCATAGGAAATAATGTAATTATTATACGCCAAAATATATTTCGATACAAGATAAACTTTATTAGGAATATATCATATTGGTCCAATTGATATATTTTAATCGTTTTACTGCAATGAATTACAAAATTTATACTCGTAGTAAGTTTAAGGATTTAACTATATAAGCGTTTTTTCGTAGCTTATTTAAAATATTTATTTTTACTATAGCATTGAAATATAAGCAATATAAATCGTAATTAGAATTAAATACACATTTTTCAAAGTATTAAAACTAAATTTTTATCATTTTTCTAATTATGGAAAGTCTATGTTTTAAAAGTAGAACGGATAGTAGAATATCATTCAATATTTCAATAAATTAATAAACATCCGCAAACGAGTGCAATGCACATATTGTGTTTATTATTATTGCGAATATTGCTTTAACTTATTTAATGGTATGTTAAAATAATAAGTTGATACCTTACTATTAACTTGTTATATTTATACATTTTATCTGAAATAAGATTGCACTTTATTTTATTTTTAATGGCTAGTAATATTTAAAAATAAATTTATAAATTATTTATAAATAATTTATAAAAATATTTTTAAGTTACGATTTTTCTAAATGTTTATTTATTATTTCCTATCTGTTTATTTATTATTTCTTATCTGTTCCTACTTGATTATTTGTACAATTATTTGATATTTATAACATTAAATTTATCATATAATATTATTTAATATTTTATTTATGTTTAAATATTATTTATAAATATATAAAGTAAACATAAAATATGAACGGTATATTTAATTTTAGATAGGCTATTTGGTTTATATATAGAAACTCTTTGTAATTTCTTATTTTACAGATTTTTCTACAGAATGATAAAAAAATATAAGTGTACAGAATAAGTTCGTTTTATGTATTTTATGTTTAATATAAATTAAATGTATTGAATATTAAAGAAAAAATGTAAATGTATTTTATGTATAAGTTTACATATATAATAAATATATGTACTCATTTTTAATAATCTACATACAAAAAATAGTGTAAGTATTTAAATAGTATTAAGCACTTTTTATGCTTAAAATTTTATTAATAATTAATAATAAATGAATCAATTATTTTATATTTTTAAGTTATTTTAAATTGACTTTATCTTTTTAATTAATTGGTTTGATATACAACCCTTATTTAGTTATCATATTTAGTTATATTAGTAAATAGTTATGCGCATGCTCTTAAATTAGTTTGTAATAGTAGTTAAACAGAAGGGAGCAGTGCATGTTGTGGGATCGGGGTTGCTTTTAATTTGCAACCAAGTTACATTTAACGTTGTTAAATGTGCATAGGATGGCTTTAGTAAACATTTTCTCGATTAAACTATTCATTTTTTCATTTTGTATATGTGGATAGTTATAAAGTGTCCACGCGTTTTCTGTACTTGATACTGATATATATGGGTCAAAAATTAATTAGGTCAGGTTACATATATAAAGACTACAACCTTAAAAGTATATAATTTAATTATATAAACTCATTTAATAGAAGTTCCGAAACGGAATTTATTTCAGTGAATAGTCTTTAATCAATTAATTTTCAATCATCTGTCTTACAAAAACAGTACGGTTCTGTTCAACTGTCTATCTATCTATTTATCTATTTATCTATCAGTTTATTTATTAATATATATATATATATATATTTATTTTATTATTTTCTATTATATTATTTTCTATTTTTTTTTATTGCACTTATTTTCTGCTTCTTTATCATTTTTACTATCTTTTTATTTTAGTACTTGCTAACTTATTTGTGCTTCTTGGAAATAAATTTCTAATTTATGTTCGCAGCCTGATTCTATAATCCCCTATCTATAATTAGTAATATTATTATTTAAAAAACAAAAGAGAAGTTGTTTCTTTACAAAGATGGCGATAAAACCTGAAATTGTGACTGATTCAATAATAATTGGCGGTGAATTCATACCTTTAAATGAGGAATTCCACATCGTCGAAGTACTTAACGTTACAATACTCGTTTCTAGTAATAATAGTAATACACCACAAGATAATGTTAATAATATGAATTCAGATTTAAAACATGAGAGTCGTGCTGAATGGAGTAGTAAAACACAATTCTTCCTCAGTATAATAGGGTACAGTGTAGGGCTAGGTAATATCTGGAGGTTTCCATATTTATGTCAGCAAAACGGTGGTGGTAAGATTCTTACTATATATTACGTATTTCCTAGATTAAAAAAATTTTTTTTTTAATTAGTTAATATGTTATTTCTTTTATTCATATTTATAACTATATTTTTAAATCTAACTTGAATTTTAATATAAAATTTTGTACATGAAATTGTTAAAAAATCAAAATACATTACAAAATCTTAATATCAATACAACTTTATTGTTGATATATTTATTGCTATATATCACTTATTATTGTTCGAGATTGCGAGACCTTTTTCAATGCAATGTATCATCTGGCAAAACAACATCGTAAAATTTGTGTTTAGATTTCAAAACTTTCTTGCTCGCAACCATCTAGCAATAGTGTCATAAAATATCTGGAAAACCAATACAATAAACACGGAAAAACCCACTCAGTTAGGCATCTGTACGAATTCGTTGCGCTTGGCAATTACTTCAAGCATTATGTGGGAGCGGAGCTTCCCTCCCTTCCCGCTGTCTACAAATTGTCATGCTGTCGCCAGATGCATCAGCGGCAACGAGAGCTCTTCTTGCCATGAAGACCAAGAGACGACTACGCCCTTAATTAAGTATAAGGCCACAAGAGGCGCTGCCCCCGCTCTGTAAGGGAGGAGTCTCTGATTGGACGAAAAATAAGGGAAGGGGTTCAAGTGAAGTTCATGGTCAGCAAACGTATATAAGGGGCGCATTTTTCAAGATTCCAACACTCTCGATATAGCACTTATTCAAATAAGTGTCAAATGGAAGTCCATTAACGCTGTTCAACGCAACAGTAGTTACACGTCCTAGAAGAACGACGACATATCCCCGTATGTCCATTAACGCAGTTCAAGAAACCGTTGTTATAAGTTCAAAAGGAGCGACGACAATCCGTCTATCGGAGTCCGAAAACAAGTCGACGATTAGTTTTCGTAATTAGTATCAGCACTACAATAATTAAATAAAACTTAAGATTCAGAATACGTCATCGACAATCAACCAAGAAGAAGAGGCTCTCACCAGAGAGACAGTGCCAAGCTCGTCGTCAAGATCGCATCATCTGATGCGAGACTTGCCGGCCTTATCCTCACCTTAGTTAATAGTCTGAAGCATATAAATCCACAGCGTGCCATTCAACGCTCGCAGAAGACACAATAAGTAGCAGTATCCTTCATGAGGTAAAAGCCCTTCAAACTCTTACTTCCATCTGAATTTATTGCAGTACGCCAATATCAGGACAAAGTACGCTTGCTACGATACCAGTATATCTCTCACGTAACAACAGTTACATGTGTCGCGCTACATAACAACCATAACCTCAATTACGCAGGTGCTCATTCAAACAGCGCGAGTGTCGACGAACCAACTTCTCGCCATTCTTCGCTCATATTCAAACCATCACACTGCGTAGATGAGTATACTTTGCCACCGCAAACACATTAATCCACCCCAAGAGTTATTTCAATAATTAATAATAGTAATACTAGTCAACCTTGTCATCAATAAATAACAGAATAAACAGCATATACATCAGTCATATTTATATTGTAGTATTATAATAACCCTTCTACTTGTGACCGTTCATTGCTACCACACAACACCCGTGGTCTCTGCGTTGTCAACGGTATCAATTTGTATCCTTCGAACCGGCCTTGGTAAAACAAGCCTGAATAGCGAATACATTTTGTATATTTTTTGGTCCTTCGAGCCAGATAGCCAGAGAAAGATGAGTCTAACAAGTGGAAGTTTGTAAATTATAATCAGTATTAATACAAGAAGACTGTTATATAAGGAAGACTTTATAATTACAAAAATATCAAAGAAATACTCTTGAAGCTCCAGGACAAGTAACTCCTCAATAACTTTTATTTTCTAACTCTAGACAATTTCAGGAAAATGTCACAATAAAATAAAAGTCAATCCACTGAAGCCAATGTTAACATCCCTATCACCCAAGGTAAAGAAACTTGTGTAACTCGCAGTATGAAGGACAAACAGCTGTCAGAGCTCAACGCCTTCCAATAGATTCAATAAAGGATTTAGAAAAACGCATCCTTGCACAGTCTTTCAAAACAACGGTAGAGGAAGCAGTGGCTCTTAAAGGAATCTTAGACGATCTACACAGAACATTTATACAGGAACAAATCTTGATGGAGTCAACATGGTCGACAATAATAGAGTCACAAGAGTATTTTACAACTAACGTCCAACGAGATCGATTCAATCTGTATGTGGATGTAAGCTTAAACGTTAATAACTTGATATCCAAACTAAAGGAAACAAAGGAACTGCTACAGTGCAAAAGGCCACAGTACGAAAGGACACCTGGAATAAGGCCAGAAATGGATGAGTTATTTTCCAGATATTATCATTGCAAAATTCTTAGGCGACTACTTAGAATGGCCCATGTTCCGAAACTTATTTGTCTCAACAGTCAACAACAACAAAAGATATAGCGAGGCGCAAAAACTTTACCATCTACAAAGAACACTGACAGGTGAGGCTGCCAAGACCATATTAAGTTTTCGTTTAGATAACAATGCATTACACTTGTCATGGCAAGCCTTGTCGGAAAAATTTGAGGATTCTCGCCGTCTGATACAATCTCAAGTAAATAACTTCTCCATCATCTGCGCCCCACTGAAGGATGATGCAGGCAAACTGGAAGATGCTCGCTGTATCGGTAATGATCACCACCTAATACAATCAACGCTACTAACGCCACGACCTGACGAGTAGGTGCAGTCATCAACCCATCAATACCATCAAGGTTACCTACCTTGTTGGCCACAGCTATGGCTAAAATTAGCTCACCGTTGGCTACAATAGAAGCACGTCTCCTGATTGATAATGGCTCAGAAGTTACGTTTGCCACAGAAGCTCTTGCGAGAAAACTCAATTGACCACATCAAAGGTATGTCATTACCATTCATGGAATTGGAGGACTCGTCGCAACTCAGACTAAAGGTGCTGTATCATTCACTCTTCAGTCACTTCATTCTAATTCTTCAGTCACAGTATTCAGCTATATACTCAAATAATTGACAACGATGCTTCAATCTTTTAAAATCTGAAATATGCAGACCCGGACTATCTTACATCCAGACCTGTAGATATAGTTCTTGAAGCGGATGTATATGGACAAGTCATCATGCCCAACATAATCAAGGCAGCACCGTCCACGTCAATAACACAATTGTCTATATTTGGATGGTTAATACTTGGTCCAGTTAATGAAGCTAAGGATATGGGCACAGTATCATTCCACACCTCAGCTGTCGAAGTGGAGGATATATTGCAAGAGTTACTGACAAGATTTTAGTTGCAAGAAGAAGTCCCGAGTAGCATCGAACGTCTCCTTAACCCTGCCGAGTAATGGTGTGAGGATCATTTCATAGAAACTCATTCTCGAGACTCAGCAGGGACGTACATCGTCCGACTTCCAATGAAGAAGTCAATCGAATTCCTCGGTCACTCTTACAACACCGCACATCAATGTCAGCAAAGTTTGATAAGACGCTTCGAAAAGAACAAAACTTATCGCCAATCCTACCATGAATTCATTAAGACATATTACGACCTCAAGCACATGATCAGAGCTTCCCCAGTATCCCAAGACAAGCCTCAGTATTATCTGCCTCATCATAGCGTATTAAACTAGACAGCTCCACCACCAAATTACGAGTGGTATTCAACGGCTCAAGTCCATCGACGTCCGGATATTCCATCAACGACTTAATACATACGGGAGCCAAATTAAATCCTGAAATTTCAGATGTGCTGATCTGGATTCGCAAACATCGATATCTGTTTTCCACATACATAACAAAAATGTATAGGCAGATTAAGGTCCATGAGGATGATTGAGATTTACAAAGAATCTTATGGATAGACGAGCAAAACAATGAAGTGCCATTTGACAACAGTCACATATGGTGCGCGAGCCGCCCCATTTCTAGCAGTAAGAACGCTGCTACAATTAGTAGAGAACGAAGGAAAGAAATATCCACTTGCGCTACCTTCCATCATTCATGGAAGATACGTCGACGACATCTCTGGAGGTGCTGACACGCCCCAAGACCTTGCTGAAGCCGCTCTACAACTGCAAAACCTCTGCAAGGCGGGCGGTGTCCTATTAACAAAATGGCATTCAATGCACAAGGACGTCCTCACTATCATAAGAGCAGAGCCCAGTCAGGAACCAACAACTATCATATTTGATGATTGCACAACCAAAATTCTCGGATTGCATTGGAATCCCCAACAAGATAATTTCACATTTGTAACAACAGTGTCCATGAACACGACTCAGGTAACAAAACGATTGATCCTTTCAAATATTGCTAAAATATTTGATCCACTAGGTTTTGGTAATAAGAACGAAGATGATGATACAAGAATTATGGCTACACACAATCAAATGGGACGATTCACTGCCAGATCAAATTTCAAGCAGACATAAAATTATAAATTAAAAACTTAGAAAACTTAAAAAGTGTATATGTTAATAATAAAACAATTTTATAAAGTATAAAAAACGAAAGATTGTTGTGTCCATATTATAAACACGCACGCCTATATGCACATGTCATAAATAAGAGTGAGGGGGAGAGACATGAAATATAAAAGATTGAGTAGCTTATAATACATTAATTTAGTATCACATAAACATTCTAAATGTGAATATGTATATTCAAAGCTGAAATTTTTAAATAAAAAAAAATATTCTGACACCTCAGAAGACTAATTATAAGAAAGTATAGTGCAAAACCAGGAAAAAGACGAAAAGTAGATTGAATAAGTAGAATGAAATTTATATTATATTTAGCTCTATGTAATTAATATTAAGAATATACTACTACTTACACTAACCAAACGCTACATTTATTACTATTTCATACAATTACCTACAAATCACATTATTTTCAATGTTCAAGTATTTGTGTTATACAAAAGGTATATTAGAATATGATTATATAAAATATTGATATTATTACATCATTATTGAATTCATTAATATTCTATTAATTATATAAAAATTATACTATTGAGTGAATAAGTAGATTTAATGAAATTACTTTTAATATAGACAACAAAATTCATGAAAAAGTATTGTATTGTGTCATTAAGTATTATTAATATATATATATATATATATATATATATATATATATATTATATATACAATTTTTATAAAATTTTAATATAATAGCTATAAAGTTATGATATGTACAATGTTATAAACAAAATTTTAATAAATTAAGAGCAAGGAATTTAATATTCATTGATAACAGTAATTAAAACATTGATTATAATTTAACTAATAATCTATATTCTAAAATTAAATTTAAATAAATTTCTTGGAATAAATATATTTATTTTAATAAAATGTCATATATAAAGTTATGAAGGACTGAAGGAAATAATGACAGTAAACAAATCATTTAAATAAGTGAGACAAATTTCCAAAGCAACAAGATGTTTCGATTATTAACTAAATGTAACTGTTTTAATAAAATATAGCATTAGTACAACATAAAAAGTATTAATACTATTATTGATTTAAGAAAAGATAATCAATGTCGTATATCAAGTTAAAAATAGTCAAATTAAGGCTCTTTCATTCATACTTTTCATTCATATGGATCTGTATATGTACTAATTAGTTTAGTTATATTAAATGAAGATGGTTATATACGGTTTACAGATTTTAGTTCAAAGTTTATGTAATAATAGGTATAATATTAATAATATATAATATAAATTTTTATTAACAGGTTATTATAAAAAACAAAGATATAAAACAATAATAATCAGTACACAAAAATTCAATTTATAAGTTGCAACATTTACCTTGGAAATATTTAGAATGAATTGGATATATATTATTAAAAAGTTTTTAAAATTCTTTGTTTTATACATATTAAAAAATGTTAAAGACCTATAATTTAGTGGATATTTTTAAAAATTTAAGATTTAATAGAAAGAAATTATATAATAATATAAAATTTATAATAATATACAATAAATATAGAAAGAAATTTTCATTTTACAATAAATTAAAAAAAAATCACATTCTAGTACATTATATACATTATTACTAAACATATGCATAAAGATTGGATTAGATCCATAACTAGTTAGCTGAAATATTTTTACTGATGAAATTGTTATTGAATGGCATTTTCATGAAAATAATAATAAAAAATGAATGACAGTTATATTTTTTATTTACCAAATTTTTGATAAATATAATTATCATTATATATTTTTTTAAATGATAACAAAATAATCTAATCTAAATCCTAAACACAATAATAATTATATTTAAATTATCCCAATGCAGTCATTATTTTCAAACTGCCCCTGAGCCTTGTGCAGCTTTAAATCTAGGTTCATTGCAGAAGTAAGCGTCTAAATAATATCAAATAGATTAAATAGGATAGCAAAATATATTTACAAACATATCTGTAAGAAGGGAAATAAATGATACTTTACAAAAAGAATAAAGGATCATAAAACAGATAATCTAACATGAGTAAAAAAAAGCACTGTAAAAAGTGGTCTTCACAACAATTATATATGTAGGCAGATACTTTTCCTTGTACCCTATAATATATTATAGATATTCTTCAATTATCTAGCAATCCTGTACTATTTAGTTGCATATTAATTTTTTTTTAAATTATACTATTTATAGATATTGTAATATTTTTTTAATTTAATAATTAATATTTGTACAAAAAGTTAAATACATAAAAACAAAAAATACAAGTGACTCAGATTAATCATAGTAATTTACAGCTACTTTTTCATTAGAATAAAAAGTATTTGTTATAAGCTATTTTAAAATATAGATTTTTTAATAAGATTGTATATTTACTACAATGTTAACTGAATTATTATTTTAAATATTTTATAAAGTAGTTTATTTTTAATTTTAGGAGCATTTCTTATTCCTTTCTTTGTGATGCTTCTCTTGGAAGGAGTACCCCTTTTTCTGATTGAACTGGGCCTTGGACAGTGAATGCGACAAGGTGCTCTCGGAGTATGGAATACAATTCATCCTTGGCTTGGAGGCATAGGTATTGCGTCCTGTATTGTAACATTCTTTGTTTCACTCTACTACAATGTTATCATCACATGGTGTTTTTATTACCTCTTCAACTCTTTTCAGGTAATCTATTATTACGTTTTTAAATAACTTAATTTATTTATCTTATATAATATAATGTTTATTATATTTTTACACTTGATGTATAAATGATAGTAACATTTTTACACAATAACCGTAAGGTTGTAATAGGTATGTAATTAGTAAAATAGATTATTGAGAATAATCATACCTTTAAATAATATAAATTTTTAGGTGACATAGTGGTTCATATTTGTTTCCTAAAAATGACAACGTGCACTATTTATATTCATCGACAAACTAATTAAAATGTCTAAATGGAAATGTTACTTAATCCAGCCTTTTTCTGTTTCAAAATCTACATGTAGGCTATTACATTTCGATTTGGTGTAAGTACTTTTAATTCTGATTAATTTTTATATTTTATTTTAATTTTTTTAACGATAAATTGTATAGCGATAATTTATATAACTGATGTTATACGATTTTCATAAAGAATATTTAATATAAGGTCCTATCACAAGCATTATTGCAAGTTTAATATAGTTATTCAATAATTTATATTCCATTTGTCATATGTATATTTTATTATCATATATGATTTTTCATTAAACTTAACATATTTTTAAGTATATTACTATATACTGGAAATAATTTTGAATATTAATAAAAATTATTGCTAACTATATTTCAGATTTGAAGTATCAATTCATGTTTGAATAATTTGTAAAGTTTGGGTACGTTAAAAAGATAAGAAAGTATTTTTTATTAATAAGTATAATTATATAATTATATAGTTAATTAAATATTTTTAATTATATTAATATGTATAACCATCAATATCCTATTAGAATATTTAAATAATATTTTCTAAAATTTTTAAAAATTCACACAGTTTTTATAAAGAAATTCATATTGTTGTTGAGTTTATTTTTAAAGGGAATACATTTTATCACAAAAAATTTAATAATAAATAAATTGTAGAGGACTCACTTTTATTTATCAATCTTTTTAATTTCCAGATCGAATGTAAATTTGATTTATAGACCTTGAAAGAGCAAAAAGAGCTTTCCCAATTTCAGTCTTCTATATAATGTAGGTATAGCTTACGATTATTATTTCATGATTTTTCTCAGTGGAGTTACAGTTACAAAGTCTATGTGTTTTACAAGCCCTTTTCATGAATTTTTATCATTATCACATGTATTAATTAATTCAATTCATCAAAATCATTTCTGCCAAGAATAAAATTAATTGCTAAATTAGAAAAGAATTATATTATATATATGTACATTAGTATACGGAACAAATCTATCAAGGCAGCACGGATAATATGTAACTTACTTTCATGAATATGATTATAGTATTAATAATGACATTTTATGTGCTAATAAGCATTTTGTTGTACGATTGGAAAAAATAAATATCTGGACTGAATAGGAGTTACAAAAAAAGTAAAAATGATAGCTAATTATTGATTTTCCAAAGGTTAATGTTTTTGTAACTAAACATGATGGTTTCAAAATAAATTTATTAGAAAAAATATTTAATAGTACTTAGATGTATATGTAATGCCTGTGTGTATGTTAACTAGAGTTTCAGATTCTTGCTTGGAATATGAGTAGTATACTGATTTCAAAAATCATGTACAACTACTTTAGTACATAAGCTAGACTTGAAGAGAAATATCGAATGAACGTGAGAAACAGTACCTAAGTATTCTTATGTGTAGTTTGATTCAAAATCTTGTCTACATAAAATCGACGTAATTAATGATGGAATAATAGAGATGTATAACATGTATGTTATGTTTGCTTGTAATTTGAAGTATAAGTGGTGTCATGAATTTCCTAATAATATTTTTATATACAAGGACAATCAAAGTTGAAGATATTAAAACTTTAAATTATAATCAAAGTAAGAACATCATTATGATAATTAAACTTGTAGTATAAAAAATAATGTGTGATGCTGTTTGGGATCAGACTAAAAACCACCATTTGATGGTGGGTGGAGATGTTGCTGGCAAGCAGAAGGGGCAATGCAATTATTGAATACTGCTTGTAGAGTTTAATGTCTTTCCTTTTATTAAATATAATAAATATAACAATTAGTTAATGGTCATAGGAGTGTGAATGGATAGCGTGAGTTAATTATGCGGTGAAGTTTCTTCAATTGTTGTACGTGATGATGAGAGTGTATGTACTCTCGGTAGAGTGAGGCACGATTCCTTCTCCTTACAAAACGAGTCGCTGTAGTAGTAGACGCACACTGGAGGGACGAGTCAGCTAATGCTGCCTTAGCTGCCGGTGTAGCGTAAGCGCCGCTGCTGTCTGTATGGTGGGGAGGATGTCCGTATTGCGTCACTGCTTACGTGAGCGGGAGGTTCGCTCGTATAGGTGTGGTGTAAGTACAGGTAGTGTGCATTACTTAGAATTGCTGAGAAGGCCTGAGTCTCAGTCATTGGTAATGTGGTGAGAATTCATTCAAGATGTGGTTGGAAGGGGTGGGCGCGTCTTCTTGTGGACTCCATCGTAATCAATTTTATATTGTACAGTTAGCAATACAATTTACACTTTTAGTTTTCTAACGGTTAATCGCGATGAGGACAGCGCAATGAATTAATTGCCGTTTTTTCTCACTGGGAACCGCCCGCCATGCAGCGATTCTGCAGTTGAATCGGGTTTCCAGTCGTAGTGCAACGTGTTCTCACCTCCAAGATTCATGACATGTCTGCCATGCATGATGAGTGGCGCAGCCAGGGGAATCTTTCTCCCTAGTCTTCCACCAGTTGCTTTAGTGTCCTGATTACAGTTAATGTAGCAGATCTTGTGCCTTGGCTACAGTAGTCTAATGATTGGCACTCTTTCGTGGTTGTCGATCCAATGGATTCCTTGTAGGTTCTAGTTGTCCACATGATCTTGTATCTGCTCATGGTTATGTCAGGGGATTCCGATTACCGCGTCTGACATTTCTTTCTTTCCTTTGAGATTGGCACCAGCGTTCTTGATGTCCTTGAACGTTAGTTAGTGATGACCTACAGTTGCTTGGATTCGCCTCGAGTACTGTTCGTCATGTAGTGGTATGATGCCTCCCAGATCATCTGTTGCAGTTTCTGGGGATGGTGCACTTATAAGTGGTGTGAGTCATTGCTCCTCCTTAAAACATTTTCTCTCCGTGACTGACAGTTGCTTAGATTTGGGGCATGCAGTTACAGAATGCTGTTGTTGGCAATACATGGATATGGTGATCCATTGGCGTCTTCGTTGGCCTTGGGACGTCGTTGCAACAGATGATAGGTATATTTTCACTGATCTCTTTGTGGGTGGTTGGTCTAGGTATGGCTTCCCATTGACGCGGCTCGTTTTTTATTAAATTTGTAACGATCTTACTCTTGTCATTACATTGCTCTTTGATCACTCGAACTTCCCAGTGTTTTTTTGTACGCTGGGTGAGCCTGTATTAGTTGATGGGTAGTTATACGGTCCCTTTAGTGGTCTTTTGCGTCACAATGTGGTCTTCCGGTGGTTCAGTCTCCTTTTCTCCTTGTAATGTGTTAGCACAAAGTTGATCTAAGTCGGATTGATCGTGCAATCGTGTTTTTTCATACCGCTTAGCTCTCAGCTCTTGGCTCTTGGCTTATGAGCAAAGAGTAACAGTAGCTGTTGGCTTGTTTTTGAATTAGGTGTAGAGGATGGAATGTGAATCGTTTGAATTTTTGTGTAGATATAAGGAGTGATATGTGTGATATTGCGACCTGTTCGGATTTAAAGGGTTAGCTTATGGCTCGAACTGCCAATTCAATAGTTCAGTGGATTAGTCTCTCGGCAGGATAATTTTAAAGGAAATCAATAACGGACAAGGCTGAAAAATATAATATATTTATTTTAAAACAAGGTTTAATGAGTGTAAACAATT